AAGGTCACATTCACAACTACCTGGGGTTAGGACTTGAAGTCCTTTGGGGACACAATTCAACCTATAATGCCCACCTTCCCCTGAGACTGCTACCTGACTCCCTCCCTGTCAGAAATTCTGGAGCCATCCACTGTACTACTGCAGTGTGCACTGTGGGTTAGGCATGTCACACACACCAGCTCACTGGATTCTTAGAGTGACCCTACAATCCGGGCTGATTATTCCTATTTTAAGAAAACAGAGGCTCAGACAGTTTAGGCCACAGCTAGTAAGTGCAGAGCAGGGATTTTAGTCCAGCTGTATCTGACGTAAGCCCATGCCCTTTCCACTGTGCCTGACCATTGCCCTGACTCAAAATAATGTTTGATCTTTGTCTTGGGGAACAATCTTTTAAATCAAAGTCAAGCTCTTTCACAACTTTTCCCTCAAACAGACTTACTAAAAGAGTGGATAGGAGAGAATTGGAGATAGAAATACAATGATAGATTGTCTTCAGGCCCAAGAACATCTGGCTATTTCCCACCATGCAACGATGGTGACTTATGTGTTAGATTACAGGTTAGCCGTGGGAAAAGGACCATCTGTCAATCAAGAGAACCCCCCATTCCTTCCATGGATGCATTTCTAAAACATTTTATAAATTGCATTCATGTACATCCATTTTTTTAATGCACTGGGGCAATTTGCCTTTTAAAGGAATCTCATCTATCATCAAGTTCCATTTCTCTGCTCCTTAAATAATTTTTAAATCTACCTTCCTCATCATTATTCTCAATATCATGGCTTAAATCACATACACATTTCTCTTCACTTGATTATTGCAATGGCTTCCAAGTAAGTCTCTCTGCCTCCAGTGTCCTCCCATATAATGTACCTTTGACATTACTGACTCATTCTGATGCTTAAAAGCATATTTTTATACACTGAAACAGTGTTATACTAACATTTAACAAATATTTACTGAGTGTACTCTGCGCTAGATGTTATTCTATGTACTAAGATACAGCAATGAACTAAAGGAACAAAAATTTCTTCCCTTCCAGAGCTTATATTTTGCAAAGGGCATTATTGTGATTACTATGTATGTTTGTCCTTGTATTCTGTTACAAACCTTGGTAGATAAGAATAATGATGATGATAATGGTGGTGGTGGTTTCCATTTTACTAAACATCTACTATGTGTCAACTATTATCCTAAGCCCTTCACATACAAATTATGTCATAATAACCCATGTGGAAGCTATCATTGTGCTAATTTTTGTGCACAAGGAAATCAAAATTCAGAAAGTTCAAGTAAGTCCAAAGGCCGAGATTTAAAAAAAATGTTGGAGGCAAGATTCGAATCTAGCACTTTCTTTCTTTAAGGTCTCGGCCACTATACTATCCGTCCTCTCTTAGATGTTCAAAAGGTTTATGAATAAATAATTGAACCCTACAGAAGCTCTTTGTAAAGCAAATAGCCACTGCAATAATCTGTTTATAAAATGAAAATTTTGTATGCCTAGTTTACCTAAAGCAGTGGTTTGTTCTCCAGAGGACATATGGCAATGTCTAGATACTTTTTTTTTTTTTTTTGAGACAGGGTCTGATTCTGTTGCCTGGGCTAGAGTGCAGTGGCCTCATCATGGCTCACTGCAACCTTGAACTCCTGGGCTCAAGTGATCCTCCTGCCTCAGCCTTCCCAGTAGCTGTGAGTACAGGTATGTGCCACCATGCCTGGCTAACTTTTCTATTTTTTGCAGAGTCGAGGTCTTGCTGTGTTGCCAGGCTTGTCTTGAACTACTGACCTCAAGTAATCCTCCCTACTTGGCCTCTCGAAGTGCTAGGATTATAGACATGAGCCACTGCACCGGGCCTTGGGATGCATTTTTGATAGTCACAAGTTCAAGAGTAGTGATTTTACTGGCATCTAGTGTGCAGAGGCCAGGGTGTCTGAGTCTGTTCTGGCCACTATAACAACATACTTTAGACTGGGCAGCTTATAAACAACAGAAATTTGTTCCTCATGGTTCTGGAGGCTGAAAAGTCCAAGATCAAGGTGCCAGCAAATTGGGTGTCTGGTGAAGGCTCACCTTCTGCTTCCCAGATAGTGCTGTGGCCTCACTTGGTGGATCGGGTGATCAAGCTCCTTCCGGCTTCTTTTATAAGGGCACTAATCCCACTCATGGGGGCACCTCCTAAAGGCTAAAGGCTCTTAATACTATTGCATTGGGGATTAGGTGTCAACATGTGAATTTTGGGGGGATGCAAACATTCAGACAGTAGCACGGTGGAACAGATTTCTACAACAAAGAGAACTATCTGGCACAAAATAGTGCTGAGGGTGAGAAACTCTGACACATAATGAGAAAGTTGCCACTTTAAAAAAATTTAGACCCTATTTTTCCTTTCTACGTTTTAAAGTCATTGACTAAATGTATTCTTTATGCATGGAAATAAACCTTGTTTATAATTTAAAGATACCCTCTCCTTCACCATCTTTCAACTTAAATTTAGGAATGGATTTTCAGAGAAAATTGCATATCAGTTGAATACTTTTAAATACACATATTTTTAAGTACCACCTTACCCAATTGTTTATAGAAATACTAGCTTAAAAATCAAATCTAATGCTTTCATATATATATGTGTATGTGTACATATATATATATTATATATATATATTTTGAGACAGGGTCTCACTCTGTCACCTGTGCTAGAGAAGAGTGGTGTGATCATAGCTCACTGCAACCTCAAACTCTTGGGTCAAGCGATCCTACCACCTCAGCCTCCCAAGCAACTGGCACTACAGACATGCACCACCATACTCGGCTAATTTTTATTTTATTTTTTTGTAGAGACAGGGTCTGGGTATGTTGCCCAGGCTAGTCTGGAACTCCTGGGCTCGAGGGATCTCTTGACTTGGCCTCCCAAAATGCTAGGATTACAGGCGCGAGCCACTGTGCTTTGCCACTTTTATATAATTAAAAACTGTTATTCATGTTCTGTTCTTCATATATGAAAAAGATGCCAAAGGGCACCGATGAGGACCTTCTTATTTAAACTGATTTATTGGTAGAAGTGATGGGTCTACACAGATTCAACCAATCCTACAAGTTGTCATCCTGGTAGCCATTTGGAAAGTGGTAGGCTGAGGACAGATATCTGGTCTGTAACTATGGAAGAGCTGTTCTTTGTAGGAGACCAAATGATCTGTGTTTGATTCAAATCTGTGATATTGGTCTTGACAGCATTATGTCTTCCTACTAAGTCCCAAGAACTTGCCTGGCCTTCATAATCCCACTTCATGGTTTGGAAGTCAAAATATAAATTCATACGACAAAATGGAAGTCATATTCATTTCATCATTTTTTTTTTCCCCTTAAAAAGAGTCCTTAAAAGTTCTTTGGAAGTGGGCTGGGAGCAGCACTTGAAGAGGTGAGCAGGTGTGGCTTGGTATAAAGAGCTCCCCTGTTCCTCAGAGGCCCAGAATTTGTTTACCAAAAACTCTGTTTCTTGACAGACATTAAAATCAGTACAATTTTTTGAACACCTCTGCATAAAAGAATGTACACATAGAAAATGTACACTTAGTTCAGCACAGACTTCTGCTCAAAGACATGTGCGCGGTGGTTGCTTTACCCCAACTGTTGCATCGTAAGAGACAAAGTGCACTCATTTTCAGTTGACATTGATGTTCTGATTAGACAACTAACTTTTCTCCTGATAAATTTCTGGGTTTCTTTTGAATTATCTTTTAAAAACTTTAAGGGGATCTTTTAAAAACTTTAAGGGGATTCTGGAGACAAAGTCACGGCCTTTCTTAGAGTTTTTATTTCATAGTCATTATTCTTATTCATTTCTTCAGCAGTAGTTATGAAAACCAGACAAGATAATCTTTGGCCAAAGTGAGCATTGGTTCACTGCACCGTTTCAGCTCAAGACAAGAATAGTGTGAACACAGAGAACATTCAGTGTTGAATATGACACCTGTAATTAGGAAGACCTATGGTTTTACCAAGTAATTACAGGATGAGGTTATTTTTGGGGTGTTGAAAAAACAGCAATTAATTAAAACTTTTCAACGCAGCTTATTTGTGCCTCAGTAAACTCTTTGTACACCAAGTACGCTCTGTCAGAGAAACGCCTGATGTCTAGCCTCAGTGCCCTGACGGGTTCAGGTGGCATGTTACTAAGGGTGTTGAATTTGAAGTAAACTATCTAAATATCTCCTTCATTTCTTATTCTAACTCCACAGCCCCTTACATCATCTCCTTGGGATCCAAGCGGCTTGGAACAAATGATGAAAGTCTCCGAACAGCCAGGGACCTAAGGAATCGGGTTTCATTACTGACAAAAAGTAGAAGGACCGCGATTAGATTAGGCAAGGTGGGAAAGGGATATTGGCAGGAAAAGCTCCGGAAAGTTACAACTTGGGTTATTTTTTAACTGGCGCCCTGCAAACGGACGCGGTGTAGATGTCTCTCTCGCTAACTCGTAAATGAACTTCAGGTTCTCTTCAGTTGTGGGAGACTTCGGAATCCGAGGACCTGGCGGCCGTTCAACGACCCCGCCCTCGGGGTCCCCAGGGGGCGTCTTCTGGAGAGCCCGAGTGTCTGGCGAAGGCGGCCGAGGGGAGGGCGAGGCCGCGGCCCCGAGAGCACACACAAAGCGGCCTTTCTGCCCTTCGGTGGGCGCCTCCCCGGCCGCGAGCGGAGCGGGAGGGGGCTGCGGGGCGGCGGTTCCCCTCGCGGAGGCAAAGAACAGCGCGCGAGGCTCGGGGCGCGCGGCGAGCGCGGCGGCCGCCGCCTCCTCCCCTCCCCGCCTCCGCCGGCGCTGCCTCCTCCCTCCGCCCGGCTCGGCCTCCCTCGCTCCCTCCCCTCGTGGCTGGCTTCGGCGGCGGCGGCGGCGGGCGGGGAGGGCGTGCGCCGGCCGAGAGGAGTCGGCGGCGAGGCAAGGGAAGTTTCAAGTGGAAGGTCGTCCGCCGCCGGCGCGTCCTCCTGCTCTCCTCCGGCAGCATCATGGCGGAGCCGAGCGGCTCGCCCGTGCACGTCCAGCTTCCCCAGCAGGCGGCCCCGGTGACAGCGGCGGCCCCGGCGGCTGCGACAGCAGCACCGGCCCCGGCGGCGCCCGCGGCTCCGGCTCCGGCTCCGGCCCCGGCCCCGGCCCCGGCCCCGGCCCCGGCGGCGCAGGCCGTCGGCTGGCCCATCTGCAGGGACGCGTACGAGCTGCAGGAGGTTATCGGTCAGTGCGGCGGGTGCGGTGGGGCCGGCCCAGGCCGGACGCCGAGGCCGGGCAGAAGGCGCGGCCGGGGGCGGGCGGGGGCTCGGGATGCTGGGCTCGCCTGCTTGCACGCCCGGGAGGTAGAGCGGCCGGTTTCGGGGCCTACCGGCTTCAACAATTTTTTTTTTTTTAATTTATTTGTTCGTTCTCTGAGCGCTGATGCTGCAGGAGGCGGCGCGGCGGATGTGACTCGCACTGCAGACCAGCCGCATGCTGCAAACTTTTATCTACCGGATCGCCGGGGACCCCGCAACGCAGCCGCATCTCCCTGCCCCCGCGTGCCGGGGCCGCAGCCCGTGGCCGGTGGCCACGCGGGCAGGCAGCCGCGGGTGGGGTGGGGTTGCGGGGGCGCCGCCCAGGGCTGCCAGCGCCCCGGCGCCGCGCCCCGGGGGCCGCGTCCTGGGGGACTCTGCGGCCTCAGCCGCGCCTCTGCCTCCCATCGCGATCCTCTCGCTGTGGGTAACCCGGCCATGGACAAGGCGCGGAGGCCCAGGTTCTTTCCCGAGACCGGGGAGGATGCTGGCCTCCCTCCCTGACAGCCGCCACTTCACGCTCGCTTTGCAGTCCGGCTCCCGCGCCGCCCGGCGCGCCCGGGTACCCGCCTCCTTCGGTGCCAGGGTGCGCCGCCTGCCGCCCAGCCCTGCCACCCGGGGAAAGCGGGCGCCCTGGCTTCCTGCCCTGCCTCGGGCCGATGCTTCCCTCTGGTCCAGGGCCGAGCGGCAAGAGTGAAACTCAAGGCTTTCTGTCGGTGTTCTGCTCCCTGCCTTTCCATGCCTTCTAGTCGGCTCACTAATACCACCTTATCTTACATTTTTAAATACCTGGCAAATTCGCAAGGCAAGAAGCCGGGTTACTTTTCCTTGGGCCAAGCACGTGAAGGGCCAGGCCGCCAGGCGATTTGTGTTGTCCCTTTGCGTAGAACCTTCCCTATTGGATCCTTCAGTTTGAGAGTCTTGTCACTTAGGGAAGCCTCCAGGTAAAGTGGGCCTTCAGCTTCTTAACCTTATTGGCTCTGGAATGGGATGTTGCCATTCCATAATCTTGATATTTAAGTACGGCGATGGAGAAGGAATTCAGAATTATCTTACATATTTTTCTTCACTTTAAGAAATTCTTCTCCACTCCACCCTTTAAAAACTTCAAACAGATATAAGAATGTTACTAGCTGTTTAAATGAACTTTAATCATCTGCTACCGTGTGAATGAAACATAGCATACACCGAAATACATATATATGAGAAAATGATGGGCAGGTCAGTAACCTAGGATGTAAAAGCTCCAGATAACCTGTCATAGGCATCTGTAGGCAAAATTCTTTGAAAACCCAGATCTTTCATAATTTTTGGCCAAAGACACTCAAGGGATGAGTCTTTATGTCATACTGCCTGGATTAAATAGCTTTAGGGGCTTCTCAAAACCTAAAATATTTAATGAAAACCCCTTTAACCAGGCATATATGCCCCTTTACTCTCAACCTGCAGGCCTCCTCCTATATTTTACTTGCCTTAGTTGTACTCTGACCACTCTGCTGTCTTACAGCACATCTGGTCTTCCCTTGCTGGCTGCCTTTGCACACGCTCTTCTCTACTCTGAGTGCCCATTTTTGTGTAGTGAATCTCATTCAGCTTCCAAGGCCTGAGTGCCTATTCCTGGAGAAGCCTTCTGCTTCTTCCAAGGCAAAGTATGGTGCCTTCTTCTGCCCCTCTTTTTACATACATCATAGTATGTAACCCCACAGTTGTTATTTGCTCAACAAAATCTGAAGATCTACTATGCCCCAAGCATTGTGCTAGGTGCTAGCAGCATGGAAATCAATAAAATTGCTCCCTGCCCTTAAGGACTTCATGAGTTATTAGAAGACATAGGGAACAGAATCTATAGGATGTGATGAGTAAGTGCTGGGAGAGCCCAAAGGAGAGAGTGACTGCCAGGACAGAGAAGGAACCAGGGTATTTCTTAGAAGAGGTCACATTTGAGCTGGATTTTGAAGTCTGAGTAAGAGATTGTGAGGTGCTTAATTATCTCCATTCCTGCCTTCCCTAACCAGCTGTGAACTCCGTCCGCCAGCATCTTATTTATCCCTCTGTCTCCAGCATGAAGAGGTGGGCCATAAAGTTGAATGATATCTGTCAAGTAATTTTCCATAGGGTCCATAAGGTTGAGAGAATTTACTTATAATTAGCTTATGTGCTTATTTGATTAATTGTTAGGGTTAAAATGCAAGCTTTGCCTTTTGAAAATAATATGACCACTTTTGTGAACTAATAAATAAAATCTCAGTTTAAGTTAAGTGGGATTAGTTGCAGGGTTTCTTTCTGTTTGCAGTAACAGTATTGTTAATTATGGTTGGTCAATTTAGTGTAAATAAAGAAATTTACCTGAGGAATTTGAGAAAACACCTGCTTATTCTACCCTGATTTTTGCACGTCCCCCTATGGGAAGGGCTTTTCTATGTTTTCAATTTATCTCATATTTTACCAGCTAACAGAGATAGCCTGTGTGCAGGCCCTGTTATTGAAAAATCAAACTGCTGGAATAATTTTTTGCAAGGGCTAAATGTTTATAGGGAATTACAAACCCATTTCCATTTAGTGTTTAATGCTAGTTGTGTGATTTAAGAGTGAACTTGTGGTTAGGCACTTTTGCTTACATTACATGCAGAAGTTAGTGGTTCAGGCACTGAACCGGTTTCAACATGAATGCCAGTTGACAGCCTTTGCTTCTACCTGACATACGGCAGGTGTCATAAGATATGACTCCAGCAGTGTGAACTGTGACCAGCAGGAGGCTCCGATGTGCCTGAGCAGAAAGCCAAAGGAGGCACCGTGTTTTAACTTTCCAGCGTGGCACAAGGGCACAGAGCACTTTTTCTTCATTTCCTTCTGGGCAGAGGTTGGGGCCCACAGGATTAGGAGAAAATAAGTTTACTAAAATCCAAACAAAGCAGGTTCAGTTGTTTGACTTCTCTTTTAGAAAAATAAACACAGGATTTTGCAAGTCTAAAAATAGTTTTCTCTTTGTTGTATGGTACTTGTGTTGTAAAAGGTCAGTGGAGAAATTGTAATGCTCTTAGGAGTAATCTGGTTCAGAAGTGTATGCATGAGCTGGAAATTATGTAAAATCTCTTCGAGGGGGCTTTATATTTACAGAGGGGTTAAAAATGTTGTGAAATTATGAATTCCTTCTTGTAGCCACTGAGATTCTTAGCAGATTTCAAATATTTCTGTTTCGTATATAGGTAACTGCTCTTTGGAGGCTTTCCAACCTGTTTACACTGTTCAGTTCTATGAATCTTTATTCCTTATCTCTCTTCTCAATTCACCCCCAGATTCCTTCTTTAGAAGTATAGGGGGCACTTAAAGCTATGCCAATTGAAAAATTAGTTTATTTGTTGGTGGTTCATAGTATTACCTATATTTGCTAAACAAAGAATGAAAGGTGAGTCATGTAAATGTTGACTTGGACATCCGTAATAGAATGGAACAACCTCAATTCTCCATCAAAGAGTTCTAGTCATCACAGTGTCAGTTTCTGTATTTGAGTTAGTTAATTCCGCCAATGCTGTTACCTTTTCTGATTTTCCTGCAATAGACTCTAGCCTCAGAGTATGTTTGATTTTCTTAGATTTTTTTGCAGGATGAGCCTTTCTTTATTCAGTTTTGTACTTGATTTCTTGGCATTGCTTTACTTTTGTCCTGGGTGATCATTTAGAATGATCTAAAAGTAACACTTGGCCATCTTAGTTAACAAAATGAATTTGATTTCTAGAATCCTAGCCATCCTTTGACAGATTGTTCCTCTGTTATTTCTCTCCTGTGAGGCTTTGCTTATCCATTCAGGTGTATTTTCTCCAGGCCCAGGTAATAGGGCAAGTGGCCAGGTCTTCAAGGAGCAACAGCCTCTCCTAAAATGAGATCTGCAGACAGCCCAGGGCATTCCCGCTTTGTGCTCTCAGAGTTTCTCCAGATTTCTATGGTTTAGGGATTATAACTGCTTTTATAGATGTTCTAGAGGCAATTTGAGGACAGTGGTAGCTACATTGGGTGAGGGAACTGGAGCACGGAGTGTATATTCTGATCTGGACCTTAATACCAACCTGCCTTGTGCTGCTGTTGGTTCTCTGACTTCGATTAGTTAGTTTTGGTTTTTTTCTAAATACTTAAAGAGGCCTGAGATGCTTTGCTTAAGATGGGGCTTTGATTTCAATTTCATTTTACTTTTTTTAATAAAGAGAAAAATATATAGAAATTTTCTTTTGTTTTTTTTTGTTGTAGTAAAAGATATAATACATAAAAATTTTACCATTTTAACCATTTTTTAAGTGTGCAATTCAGTGGCATTAATTATATTCACAAAAGAAATGCTCTTTTAAGTGAGTTGCTCACACACTTAAAAAGAAACTTACAGTAAGTTGACTGCAGTCTTTGCTTTATTCATGCATTTGATTTGTCACTGATACGATTATGAATTTCCCCCTGACTCTTATGGTTTGTCATACATTACATTTTTTTGATGATGTTTGAAAATAGCTTGCAGCAGTGCCAGCTCTGGAGTCAGATGCCCTGCTGTTTCATGTCCAGCAATGGCGGTCACTGGCGTTGCGACCTTGAGCAAATTAGTTAGATGCATCTGTACTCAGTTTCCTCATTGGTAACACGGAGATGATAAAAATAGGGTTGTGAGGATTGAGAGAATGTAAGGCATGCAGAATCGTGCCTGGCACACAGCACGCTCTCAATCGGTCTTAGCCATGACTACTATAGACTTCATTTGCTAATCAGATTCAAGTTATCATGAGAGAATCCAGTCCTGTCTTTGGCAAGAGTTTGGAATGGCTTGAAGAGTTTCTCTGCTGAGTTTCTAGCAGGGAGGAAGTGGGAAGGAGAGGTGGCCCTCAGTCTCCTTCCTCCAGTGGGTGGTTGGAAGGGGCTCATGAGGGGCACTGGAGGGCCCCCACCCTC